ACGAGACAATAGGAAGGAATAACGGAATAAGGAAAGTCAGCCCGTTAGAAGGCAGGAAAGAAGAGCTACACAGAGACACAGAAAGACACACAACACACAGACACACACAGAAAACTAGCAAAACATACAAAGGTACATGAACCCCAACACGAAACAAGCGGTAGAACGGATGTTCAGATATTTCAGGATTCAAAATAAGCGCAAACAATTCAACCTCCTGGATGAAAGAGGAAAAATACATCAGACAGAAAAATGCAGCTGGTGCCACTGATGAGAGACACGCGTGCCGTGGCGTGTAAGGGTGGGGGCAAAGTGGAGACAAAATCCCAGGGCAACGCTGCTTTAAGTAAAGCGGGTACGGCAGCATCCACATCATATAAAGTGAAAACGATGTCAAAAGCCACCATAGAAAACAAAAAGGATCAGTCCTTAATGACCCAAGTTCAAGGCATCAAGTTCAGCCAGGTCTGCTGCCCACCGGCGACCAGCCGCCCCCACGGCACACCAGCTGGCCCGGGGCCGACCGCACCTGCGCTCCTCCCCCTCGAGTTCTCTTCCTTTTCTTCCTGGGACCTCACGCACTTTGATCCCTGGGCCTGTGCAGTGTGCCCCCCGATTAGATGAAGTGCCTCCAGCCGCATCCCCAGACCCTAACAGGGATGCCGGCGCGTAGTCAGACACCTGTGCTGATGACACAGGCCGGACCTTCACCCAGCCTGTCCCTTCCCCGTCCACAGGGGGAGCTGGGCGCAGCCTCGGGGTCAGGGGGAGCAGGCCCCGCTGCTTTGTAATTGCCATGAAACACGTCTGCTTCATGTTCCCGAGTAGAATGCACTCCCCTGAATCACTCGATTATCTTCTCTGGCTCCACACTGTGTTGTCAAAGCCAGAGCCAAAGGTTAAAAAACATGCTCTGCTATATTCTAACAGAAGTCACACACAATCACAATGATGGGCGGCGGAAGCGGGCCTCCTCAGGCAGCGGCTTTCTTCCTCACTGGCCGCAGGGCAGCCTGGGCACTTGGGCGGCCTCCCCGCTCCGAGGTCGCCCTTGCGCAGGCGAGCAGACGCTGCCCTGCGCACGGGGAGGCGGCCTCCGCTGGGCGGCTCTGCCCGCAGGTGCAGCAGAGGAAAACCCACGCTTCCCTGTGAAACACTGTGTTCCTGCCACATCAAAAGCCCCTCGGGGCCCGATTCCGTTCATCGCGTGCAAGCAGAAATTGTAGCCCAGCTTTGCTTTCGGGGCGAGATGCCAGCGAGAGGAAAGCTGACCTTGGGACACTTAAGCTGCCAAAACACGAAGGCTGCAGCCTAATGTTCACCAGCTGGGTAACACCGATTTGAAAAGGACCCTTCTCAGAGGCCTGTGCAGCACCTGACGTTTGTTCTTCCCAAGTCTGCCGACAACCCGACACGGTGGCTGCCAGCCCCCGTCCTTCACGGTTGGAGGATGCGGGGGCCGAGACTGCTGGCGAGAGAACAGCCCGAGCTGGGTGCCCACCCCTGTGCGGCCCCGTCACTCATCACCTGGTCCTGGACCACGGTCCTCGCTTGCCGTCAGGCCTCCGACGGGGCCTTTGGCCGCAGAGCACGCGGCAGGACTTCCAGGGGAACCATGGACGGACTGGAGTCGCGGCCCAGGCAGCCTCATTCTGTCTCCTTCTCTAGTCACCCCGTCTGCAGCCCGGGTTTTCTTTGTAAAACGTGCGTTTCTCAGTGCATGGCTGTCCTGAGGTGCAATTCACACATCACGGAACGCACTGTCGACCGCATAACTCTGTAGTTACTCCGCAGTTTCCCGCACATTCCCAAGGCTCTGCCGCACTGCCGCTACTTAATGCTACACGGCCTCCACCACCCAGGAAGGAGTCACTTGCTCTGTCCCCGCCCCAGAGTCCGGGGACACCACTCATGGCCCTTCCATCTCCGCAGCCTTTGCCTGATCTGGACACTCCCTACAAACAGAGCCATACGACACGTGGCCTCGCGTGTGTGGCGTCTTTTACTAACACATTTTAAAGGTTCCCATTAGTTGCCGCATGCGTCAGGACTTCATCTCTTAATCTGCTTTAACTGATCCACATCGGGGAAGATGGGAGTTGTCGGGGGTGACAGAGAGAAGAACGCAGGCGTCTCACTGCACGTGGTCTGTGTGTAGGTCGGACCACGGCTGTGGTGCTGAGAAAGCAGCGTCCCCGCACCGAGCCCACATGGCGCTGCAGGCTGTCCGCCTTTTACAGATGGGGGGGACAATGTGAGTGAGATCAGTCCATCTTCCCAAATGTTCGAGCAAGGATGTGAGCCCGGGGCTGTGAACACGCAGCCCAGATCACCTCTACTACAGGCTGGGAACGGTCACCCAAAGGGCCGGCTCAGACGCGGGCCTGCGGTCTGCGGCTCGGCGGAGACGGGCTGTCCCGGGCCGGGCTGGGCCGGCACGTCCCAGCCACCCAGCTGTCCCTGTGCAGCGGAGGACAGGCAGCCCCCGTGCTGGTCAGGCATATGGACAGCACACCTTGGGCCTGACCCACGGGCAGCACAGCCGTCACCACCGTCTGGGTCTAGAACACCTTCTTCCCCTTCAGCCATCACTCCCCGCTCTTCTCCACCAAAGTACCGGAGCCCAGGACATGCTCACCAAGGGCCGTTGTGCCTCGACTCAGCCTCCCTGCCCCTGGGTGCAGGCCCGGGGCCCAGAGGACAACCCGGAGTCACCATCATATGAAACATCTAATCCTTAAGTGCAGCCAACAAATCAAACTTTGTTTTTCCTTCTGAAGTTAAACCAAAGCAAGCGTGTGGACCAAGTGACGCTGTCTGGATGCTGCCCGCCTACAACCTGTGGTGGAGGGGCTGTGGCCCGTCCCAAGTGGGGCCAGCGGAGGAGCCGGAGCGGGGAGGCAGCTGAGCCCCGCCCTCCCGCCTTCCTGCTGGAGGATCTCCAGTACCTGAGACTTCTGGACACAGAGGCACGGAAATGGGACCGAGGACGTCAAACCCTTCACGCACCTCGTCCATGACTCGTGCCTACGTGTGTCCCTACACTGCTAGGTTCCAGGAGTTCCAGGACGTGGAATATCCGGCCACTGGTTTCCTGAAGGCCAGTGAGACAGCGAGGCGGCTGGCAAGCAATGACAGCTCAGTGCCATCTCACACTGTCCCCATGCACGCTGACATCAGGGCAGAGAAAACATGGAGGGCTCCTGGGAGCAGGTGAGTTTCTACTTCGGATGAAGTGAGTTTCCTGAATAAGACGGAAGAAAGTGGCAGAGGAAGCAGCGCATTCCAGGAAGAGGAGCACTGATAGAGTGAGCAAGACCAACAGGAGAGATGCCATGGTTAGACAATTTAAAGAAATTCAGGCTGGAAGAACCTATTTTGGAGGGAGGGGAGGGATGAGGAAAAAATGACAGCGGAGGAAAGTGGGGACCAGACACTGCAGAACAGCCTAAAGCGACACCAATCGCTAGGAATCGCTCTGGGGGACATGGGGACAGTGAAAGACCCCGGTGGCTGTGGCGACCCGACTGCACTCGGGAGTCCGCTCCTACTGCCCCGTGGGGGACGGCTGCAGGCGGGCGAGTCGGGGACACGAGCACAGGGGTTGACAGCAAGTCTGAGGATGCGCCCAGCGCCCGAATGACCCCAACCCCGTGGGAGGGGCCCGGCTCCTGCTGGACAGGACAGCGCGTGGGACAGGGACCTGCGGGCTGACCCGAGCACTGACCCCTGCACGTGCCCACAGCCCGTCAGGACTCGGGCTCGGTCCCGTACCAGGGGACAGGACACAGTCGGCAGAGAGGGCGAGTGGCGGCTGTTTCAGCCTCTGGGTGGGGGGTGGCATGTTGCAGAGTGGTAACTAATTGGCAAAAAAAAAACCAACCCAAAACTTACTCCATCTTGGCTCATAAGAAAACCATGTAAGAAATAAATGAAATAGCTTTTTCTAATTTTTTTAAATTGAGGGTATTAAAAATAATCTTCCCTGCGAGTCCAAATCACCCACAGACATTTACATGACGCCACCAATCCGTGTCCTGACCGAGTCCTTCTGTTCTGCTCGGGAGGTCAGCTGGCCATGACCAGGTAATCACCGCGGCCCGAGAAGCACCCCGGGCAGTGCGCTGCCCTCCACGTGCCTCGTTAACTGTGGCCGACTTGGACATGCACACGCCGCTGAGAAGGGATGACAGCTGTTACCGATGGACTGTGTCCCCTGAAGAGACAGCCTGGAACCCTAACTCCAGAGCCACAGCTGGGTCCTTACTGAGAGCAAGGTCTCTGCAGATGTGATCGAGCGGAGATGAGGTCACACCCAGTGGTGGAATGACCCACCAAGGACACCAAGGACGGCGGGTGACCTCCAGGAGCTGGAAGCAGCGAGGGCGCCGGCCCACAGCCTCCGGGGGAGCCGGGCCACCTGCGTGCCCTCTGCCACTCCAACCCACGGGGCTGGGAGAGGGTGGAGCCGCCCACTTCAGGACACTTCATCACGGCAGGCCCGGGAGAGGGACAGTGGCCAGCGTCCCTTCTTTAGATCCGTGTCTCTGGTGAGGGCAAACAGTGGCCCAGGCAGTAGACAGTTAGCGAGGTGGCCCCTGAGGGCTTCACCTGGACACCTGGCAATCGCAGGGCCTACTGGGCACCATCTTTGTGCTGATTTGACTGATAAAAAAAACACCTTCTCCCATAAAACCGCCTGCAAAACGGCAACGCCACTTACTCTATTCACGATACTCTTTCCATGATGCCAGTTCCGAAGTTGTGAGGTAGCAGATGCATCAGAACCACAGAAAACCTGCCACCAGCCCCTCCTCTAGACAGACCGGGGAAAGGCCCCAGTTTCCTAGTTTCGGGTCTTAATTTATACAACTTCACTGCCTTCTTGAACTTCAGCCTTTCAGCAAACATTTTCAAAAGTGATCTCACGGCATCCGTCTGTAACAAAAGGGCCGCACTGTTGCCACAGAAACGAAGGGAGCCAATCAAAGGGGACTCACCTGGAGGAAAACGGTGCGGTGGGAGGCTCACCTGCTGGGCAGCTCTGGGGACCCGAGCTGTGGGGCTACTGCATGTCAACGATGCCTAGAATGAGAACAAAAACACACAATTACACACATTCTCAAGTATAAACCGGCTTGTATGGACAGTGTGTGATGTTCAACTCTTTCCATTTAAAACTGAGTTAGGAGGCAGGAATGGGAGTCAGCTACAGATGGTGGGGCTCCCCAGTGGGTAGAAGCGCCCGGGTCTCCCAACTCTGCACCTGCCCAATGCTGGATCACCAAGAACAGGTCACGCTCCAGCCTCTGTAGCAGCAAGGTCCCTGAGCCTGGGGTGCTCCGTGGCACTGAGTGAGAAAAAGAGATGACGTCTTGAGAAGGCCCTTTGCAAAGGGCTCCGAAAGGGTGAACTGGTGAGCAATGAGCAAGGAGCAGGCACCGGTGGTTTTCGTTCCTTGTACGCGTATGTGAAATGAGGGTGACGACACCAAAAGAAAAAAGTAAACCATTCCCATAAATACAGTATTGTATGTTCTCTTAAGTCTACAAAGTTAAACTTTAATTGCAAAAGCATTCTGTACCTGAGCGTATTTTTCCCTGAAGAGATAGCTTTCCCCTCCAAGGAGATACACACACAACATCACTGAGAATAAATGTATATGTTCGTACTTTGTGTTTGTGTATGTGTGCATCCTCTAACCAAGTCTGTAACCCAGTTTATAACTTTGCCTTTGGGTAACATCACTGTCTCGTCATATTTTCATGATCGACAATATTAATGTAGATCCATATGCAGTGTGGCCACTCGGAAATATCTTTAATTATACAAGTCTAGTCTAAGCTACGTTTAAATGCAGCTCACTTGATTGGGATGGAGATACTATATTTCCTTGATTAGCCATAAACACACGATCACTGAAGTTTCCGGAACCCCTGCTGCGCAGGGGCAATTCGTCAGTGTGGTGAGCACCTGACCTTAACTTCCAGCTTCGAGTCAGTAACTTCCAGAAGGTGAGGACCAAACATGTGCTCTTCATGTTGCTAATATATTCACAAACACAATCTTTCCTTTTTATCTCTGTTACATATTCCCCCCCCCAAAAAGAAAGGGCCACAAATGATCGCTCATGTGAAGATGTACACCTATAAAATAAAGTCCTAGGTTCAAGTTAACTGAAAAATCATAAATACACCCCCATATGTTTTATTTTAATGTGGTTGGCCACCAGCTATATGCGTGTGAATTAGCTGTAAAAGTTCATTATACACCTTGAACCGGATTTTAGTTTTCCCACGTGGAGGACAGGTACTGGGAAGAAGGCCAAGTTCTGGCTACAGCTCCTGGCGGCATTTGCAACTCCACCTTCTGCATCAGTGACGACAGTTTGAATGACGCTAACCCTAAAAAGAGAACTCGGTTGAGGTTCCACTGTTTCCTTCCGAGTGTTACTGGGCACTTGGCGCGCGCGCGCGCGCGCACACACACACACACACACACACACACACATCTATTCCTTACAGAGTGAAAGTAAATGTTACATTCACCCAATGGAATGATACCCACTTGAAACGGAAACTCAGACTCCAACTTTATTCATTAAATAATAATTCCGTCCCTCTCGTTTAAAAGCACCAGGTTTGGGGCAGAGGCCTGGGATGAGATCCTGCTCCAATTAATCACCAGCCACGCAATCTTGAGCGATGGATTCATTAACACGCACCCCAGTGTCACCTATAAAGCGGGGACAACATCGTCACTCAGCCGTGAAGAACAACCGAAGATTAAACGACACGATGCACTCAGGGCGCCCAGTCCTGTGGCAGGCCACTGCCCGCGTCACAGAGCTCCAGCGAGCAGTTCTCAGCGCAAATCGACTCAGAGAAGACTGTCCGCGCAGAAGGCACAGCTGGCGCCTGAAACAGCACCGACCACCAGACGCTTCTCCCGAATTTCACCTGTCGTGTTTCGCAAGGCGCTGTTGTCCTAAGTACCTTGATGAGGTGTGCTGCCCAGGAGCAAGGAACTCCCAAGAGAACGGAGCAGATGGGGGGGGGGACTGGGGAGCGAGGACCCTCTGGGGCTGGCCCCCAGGAGTTAGTCTCTGCATCTTAAGGAAGGTGCCCCCCCAAGCGCCTGCAGGGGACAGATCCACAAAGCAGGGGCTTGGCCCCCTGGCAACAGCGCCTTAACCCCCACCAACACCTGACCCCAGGAGGCGGAGGACACCCCCTCCACCGCAGACTCCAAACCGCAACGTAGAGAGGCCGCAGCAGGTCAAGGCCGAGTTCCTGGCAAAGGCAGATCTGGGGAGGAGGAAGGGAGCCAGCCAGAGATGTCTCGAGAAAGCCAGGGTTCCGCGCACATGCGCCTGCTGTCCATCTGAGATGAAGGGCTGAAAAGAGGGGAGGAGGGTGGGAAGCAGCCCCGCCTCCTGGCTTTTCGTGTCAAGACCCGGTGTGTGGGGCCGGGCTCCACCCCCTCTTCTGCTCCCACGTGGCTGTCATTTCGCCCGGCCGATGGCCCCCCACAGCCGTCGTCCCCCCCACGAGCCAGTGGTCAAGTCTGCCCATTGCAATCAAATGGGGGCCGGCTAAGAGTGAGCCTGCCGCTCAGCGCCAGCAACACGCCCAACGGAACTGAGGGAAACATCTAGAAGACATTAACCCCACACACACACCATCCACTTGCTGGGAAAACTCCACCTGCAGACTTTCCCGGCTCCTACAAATGGATGAGAATCAGCTGTTCCCTTACAGTTACAGACCATTGGCTTCTGTGTTTGCGTTTATTCATTTACTCAAAGAAACTTACTAGGAAAAGAAACAGAACAAGGCCCCTAATTTCATGGGGTTTGCTGTCCACAGAAAACTACCCCTCTTGACAAAACGAACAAGTGAAAAGTCATTGAAGTGGATAAAAGGAGTGAAGGACTACTTACTATTTTTAAAATAATCCTCTGAACAGTATTTCAGGGTCACAAGGCAGCGTGCAATCCTGTCACTCTCGACCTGTGTCCAGCATGACACTGACCGCCGCCCACCTGACCCCCACACCACACACCCACCCATGGCCTCCTCTGTGGGGACAGGACACCTGCCCCTCCCATCTCACTGTTCAGTGGGAAGCTGCGGAGCCGTGTCCAACACGGTCTGTAGTGTGTGCCCCTCAACCGTGTGTCACGTGGACGAGCGGAGCCGACTCCCAGACCAGGATGGAGCGAAAGACAGGCATGGAATGTAAGTTCCACCCCACAGGGCGTGCTCACGCCTGCTCCTGAAAGGACGGGTCTTGTGCCACCCACACAGCTACTGCAAAGTTCTCAATTTCATAAGAGCTGCTCACTCATTTCTCGTAGGGGACAGAGTCATGCAGCCACACTGTCACCCGGGGAACAGGGGTCGAGCTCAGATTTCCCGTCTCACAGAGGCGGCACGCACAGGGATGGATGGGCCGGGGAGTGAGGCCCCAACCGAGGCCTTGACGGCAGCGAGAAGGCAGAGTGATTCCCGGCCACTGCCTCCGCCTCCGTGCAGACCCGCAGGGCAGGGGCGCCGCCGCCTAGGCAGCCGACTGTGCAGGAGCCGCCCCGCTCACCGCCTTCCTCCCATCCGGCTTCCGGACGCGCACACCCAGGGCCGTCACCCGTCCCCGCCCGGCTGCGTGAGCGGGCGGAATGAGGTCAGCTCTGTACAGAACAGTGCGTCCTTCATAGTCTGCACGTGAGCTATTTCTAAAATCACCGAAAATGTATTAAGTCGTCCAATGTTACATCCAAATCATTTCCCTGCTATTGCCATAGTTTTAACTTATGGCTAAATTTCAGCTATGGCTTTTGCCATAAACCCCGAAAACTCACGTGTGAGAACAGATGGGAAATGGATGAATCAACAGATGAACGCACACATGAATCGCCCGGTTCAGGAAGACTGGGTCCCCGCAGCTGTGACCCAGCCAGCTGGTGCCGACGCCGGGGCCTGGCCGTCCTGCACCATGAGAAGCCCGGACCCAGGACGACTGAAGGGCCTCTCGGCTGAAACCAGCCGAGGAGAGGCGGCCAGGGGCAGGGCCCAGGTCCGAGGGAAGGGTTTCATTCCCGAGAACTAACCTCCCCGGTCTAGTCCTGACCGGGTCCTTCCCCCTCAGAATTGAACCGAGGGCTCCTTACTGACCCAGGACCAAACCGCCCTTCCCAAGTGACAGGTGAAACCTGAACGCAGTTCCAGTGGAAACATTCCAAACACCAGGTGCGGCCTCTCCGGCTCTTTCAGTTCCCAGACTGGGGGGCGAGACCAGGAGGGGACAGAGTGCTTTCCTCACTCGCGGTCTCTGCCCCTTTCCCTGGGGTCAGACATGCGTTTGCCTAAGGACACAGGTGGCAGGGCCACCCCAGGGCCCGGTCTCCGCAACCTTCCGCAGGCCGTGCCTTGAACCCATCGGCGGGCGATGCCCTGGCTCTGCGGGTGGCTGGCAGCCCAGCTCCAGGGCACACCTGCGGTGGGAACATGCAGGGTCCAACCCCCACGGACCCGGCTTCCCCCGCGGTGGGGCGGGAGCCACAGGAGCTGCCGGTGAGGTCCGTGCAAAGCTGGCGTGAGAGACCGTGGGGAACCGTGTGGTCTGGGGCAGCTTTTCCATAAACAATACCTGTTATCGCAGTCTGAGCAGGAACAGGCAGCACAGGGGGAGCGAGGAGAGGGGGCCGTTGGGTGACTGTCCATCTTCCGACAGGGTCCGTTCACCGAATGGCACGTCCGTCCCATTCACCGAAGTTTTCCTTCTCCGAACCAGCGTGTATCTCTCAGGGTGTTTACCTCCTGCACAGGCGGTTCAAACCCACCCTCAATTTTCTGGGGGCCAGGTGACGTTAGACTATCCGCGGTCACTTGCAGAACTCCCAGTGGCTCTGCCTGACATACTTCAGGGTCAACACCGGGGTTACCTCACCGATGCCAGGAAGCGCTGACAGTGCCCGGCATTTCCCAAAGGAACGCGGGCCGTGTCTGCCGTACTGTCCCCCCGCCACCAGCAGACCAGTGGCCACCGGCTTCTTTCCCCATCGGCACGGT